TTTACCGCAGTCACACAGGCCCTGAGTAGCAAGACCAAATAAAGACATATTTCTTTGAAATAAAAATCAAAACAGTATAAGAGCTGCTTCACTGTTAAATGTATTACTTTATACCAAATTCAGCCAGGCCATCCAGTCTGCACATAGTGGACATGGTTACACTGTGCATAATGGTAGTAATGAAATGTATTTGACAGTTACTGCAAATTGTAAGAATCAGATTTAATAATATTTTAATGGTTTTGACCTTTCAAACAAAAACAACTTTTTTTTTAAATTGTCTAAAGTTTGTAATCCAGTTCATGACAAAACTTCGTAAAATGCCTTCCACACAACCATTGGGAAAGTTTTACGCCTAAGCACACTGTATTAACAGTCCATTGCACCTTTCTGTGAGCACTTTGTTCTGACAGGCATTAATCATGCATTTTAGTCTTTGATACTCCAGAATGGTACAACTGTGTCTTTTAGGACATCCCATTTGCTTTTACCTTGTCAGATACACTAAGACAGGTCTATGTTAATATTTTATACATGGTGAATTACAATACAATTCCCTGTAAGCATGTCTTTAAAGTTTATTTCAGATGAGGAAAGCGCTAAGATGGATTTAGTAAGTTTTAGATGTGTGAAAAAAATCACGTTTTCTAACAGCAGCACTATTCACTTTGGTTTTGGTGGGCTTATTTGCCTATGTTTTGCCATTATATGGGTATATGAGTTTGTTGATTGACTGATTTCTTGTATATTAGCATGATGCTTCTTCTGTGTGAGGCACCAGATGGCCTATACTGCGATGAATACAGCCACTGATATGTTTCTCAGCATCAGAATGCTAATGCAGAAATGATGATTGCCATATTGTTTTTGACTGCACCCAAGGGTACTTAGAAGGACAATGAATCCATAGGGACTTCAGCAAAATGCCTGCATGTGGACCATGATGGATGTGTACTCCGAACAGGATGCCTTGAATATTAATTGATATCCACTGCAATGCAAAAACAACATCCCAACCATTGATATATTTAAAAAGCACAATAGACACTATAAGCAACTTGACACAGTGAAAAGACCCATTATTCTCCAATGCAAAAGTGTTTATCAGTACTGAATGACATCTCATTGTTTTGTGAGAGTGCACTCATACACTAGGCACATCATGATATACTCATGCAACAATAAAACTCTAATAAATCTCTCAAAGAGGTTTTTGTCCAGCTTAACTGGCCTTTCCCTGATGACTTTTGTTTCTAGCTTACAACTATAAAAATTAATTAAAGTGTGTGCAAAAAGCTTTCTTGGACTGGTTCTCAATTACTTTGCAATGAAGTGACTTGTGTGGATAGCACAGGGTTAATTGTATTTGTGCTAGTGCATTGTTGAAGCCACTAATGAAATTCAACTCTGTTATTATTCACTACTTTGACTTTTTTCTGCCTTTACTGGGTAAAATATGCACTGAATTAGTTAGAAGCTGACATTTTCATGAACGTATATTTGTACATACACAAACACAAGTTGACTTGTGCTCTCACTAGTAACCTTGACTTAATTTATGCAAGTACGTTGTTTTTCTTCGGTGCATTCTTTTTCCTTTTGGAACCTGTCACCCCACAATAATTTGGTTGAAAGTTTGCATGTTATGGAATGAGCTAATGAAACCTCAAGCAACAGTCCTCAAGCTGAGATATGGGGATTACAGCTACAAAGGTCTGGTGAGCTCACCACTTTCTAACACTTTTTGTATTGTAAATATTAAATTAATGGTGGCAGATTTACAGTGAGCTCTCTCTGTTCCCAGGTCTTGGTATTGTTCATGTTTGCTTACTGCCACGCTGATGTGACTTACTGGGGGGCTTGAATACAACAGAGGCATTGTTAATCTTATTAGCAACACCTGTGCTTGCCCTGCTGTGGTGATTCAAATAGTCTCCTGTGAATAAGACTCTGTAATAAACCAGAAAATCGGGAAACACCTTTGTGGCTCTGCAGGCACTGCTGAGCTTGACAGTAGCCACTAGAGCACAGTACATATTTTAAAACAGCTATCTTTAAAATTTCACACATTCACAATGCACACATATACCTAGCTTAGCCCTTTTCCTTTAATAAAGTTAATATGGGCCAAATATATAACATAAATTATTATTTTTTGCCTTCAGAATTGCTGTAATTCTTCATGACATAGAAACAACGAGGTGCAGGAAACATTCATCAGAGATTCTGGACCATATTGACTAGAGATTGACCGATCCGATATTACGTATCGGTATCGGTCCGATACTGACCTAAATTACTGGATCGGATATTGGAGAGAAATAAAAAATGTAATCTGATCCATTAAATATCACAAAAGCAGCTCACAAAACTTGCGACATGGCATAACTCGGCTCATAACCGTAGCACGTCGGAGCAGTATGCGTCACGTGATAGAGCGGCTGTGGCGTGCAAGACCTGTCAGCGGTCTCGTTGAGCATCTGGAGCCTCGCTACCAAACCAGCATATTATCTCCGAGAAAGTTATCCCAGAGAGAAGTAAAGCAAGTGTGTAAGTTAATCTCTGAATGTTTGTAAAGCATTCCAGCATTAAGCTTAACAACCGATATATGGAGCGACTGCCTCTCTCTCCTTCCCTCTCCTGTTGCTACTTCAATCATGAAACTGATTAATGATCGGCTTTTCTGTTGCGAGTCCGTCTCTCTTGTTTACCGCCCACTTCGCGCCAGAAAGAGGAAACCAGCGGCTGAACAGCAGCTTGATAATCTGTTGTTAGAATTTATTTAATATTACTTTCTACACATAATTATCTGAATCTTATACCCAAAGTTTTAATCTGATGTAAAATGTATAGTAGTCCATTACTGTATATAGTAACTATTAAGTCTAATATACCCTAGTAAGCTATAGTACTTTTTTGGGGCGACTGTGGCTCAGGGGGTTGGGAATCGCATCTGTAACCGGAAGGTCGCCGGTTCGATCCCTGGGCTCTCTGTCCTGGTCGTTGTGTCCTTGGGCAAGACACTTTACCCTCGCGATGGCGCGATATGGCAGGCTCGCTTCTGTCAGTCTGCCCCAGGGCAGCTGTGGCTACAACTGTAGCTGCCTCCACCAGTGTGTGAATGCGAGAGTGAGTGAATAGTGGTATTGTAAAGCCCTTTGGGTGCCTTGAAAAGCGCTATATAAATCTAATCCATTATTATTTTTCCTTTGGGACGGTACCATCTGTGCAGTCTGCAGTTCTGTTGAAGAAAGATGTTGAATCTATTTAATTATTCTTGAAAAATAATTGATTTCTGTGCATTTTTTTTCACACTGCATCAAATTAAAGTTGATTACGTCGATTAAGCATCATGAGGTGGGGGGTGGTTCCCTATTTTTTTTTTTTGCTGGGAGTTTGCAACCCTATTAGTTAGGTTGCTTACTCTTTAAAATACCAGAATAGGGAGGATGGAGTAGGTTTAAGTTTATTAGATTGATCAGTATTGCTGAACTATGAAATATTTTGGGCGCAGTGTATTTTTTGCATACAGGTATAACAGAATAGCTTTAGTGTTTTTTTGTTTTTAAACTTGAGTATGAACTTATACAAAATGCAGCAAGATATTAAAAAAACAGTTTTATTGATTAAAAAACACACTATATCGGATTCATATTGGTATTGGCCGATATCCAAATTTATGATATCGGTATCGGTATCGGACATAAAAAAGTGGTATCGTGCCATCTCTAATATTGACATGGCAGCATTACAGAGTTGCAGTAGATTTGTCAACTGTATGTCCATGATGTCCTTTGATGATTTCACTACCATCCAAAAGCTTTAGTGGAATTTCAGACTCATCTGACCAGGCAATGTTTTTCTAAGTCTGTGCAAATTATTGCTGACAGCACTGACACACGCTGTGGTCTTCTGCTGCTGTTGTCCATCTCCTACAAAGTTTGACATGTTGTGCATACAGAGATCCTCTTCTGCATACCTCTGTAAATTGTGGTTATTTGAAATGCTGTTGATCTCACTAAGATGGATCAATTACAGAACTCGTATTCATAATTCATGCAAAAGTATATTTTCCCAACATGGCTGAAAATACTATTTAATGTGCAGCCTCAGATGACAAACTCATTATACACATAAAATCTATACCTGACTCCAACATTTACACATACCTAAAAGGCAAATTGCAGCAGCAAAATCGGTGGATACACACAGCAGAAGCCCTCTCTTCTCAAGCTTCTTGCGTTCCTTCTTCCTTATGTTGCTGTCATTCAGTATCGCTACATCGATCACTACCGCCATCTTCTTCTGCTTGTCTACCACCACCTTGTCCGGTTGGTTAGCCACCACCATTTAGTTCGTCTGTATCTGGATCTTAGCGCCGTCATTCTCGACCATCCCACGTTTACCCTTTTGACCTTGGGACTTCCAGGCCATACTCGGTACAGATGTTTCTGTATACTATCCTGGCCACTTGGTGATGGTGTTTCATGTATGCCCTGCCTGCTAGCATCTTGCACCCTTCTGTTATGTGCTGGATTGGTTCAGGGTCATCTTTACACAGCCTGCCTGGGGTCTTGCCTGGTGTGATAGACCCCAAGGCTCAAGCTCAGAGCTTGTTCCCGTGCTGCCATGATTAGTGCCTCTGTGCTGTCTTTCAGTCCAGCTTTGTCCAGCCACTGGTAGGATTTCTGGATGTCAGCCACCTCTTTTATCTGCCAGTGGTACAGGGGCCTATCCTTCCATGAAGGTTCCTCCTCTTTCTTGGGTTTCTGCTGCCTGTGATTGGTTGGGGCCATCTCCCTAATAATGACATCAAGGTACCCTGCTGGAAAGGATGCATCCCCAGGCTTCTACCTACCTACCTAAACCCCCACGCAACATTATTTTGCGTCAAATGGTGGAAGTGGAAGCTAAACTGGCTAGTCATTCATATGTATATTAGGCTGTTAAGTAGGAATTCTAGAGGAGTGTGTGGAGGGAGGGGGTGGGGGAGTGGAGTGTTACAGTTTGCCATCTTAGGGAGAAATCAACACACATGGGTGTAGGTCCTTTGTTGCTGACATTTATTGATAAAAAGTACAAAAAACCAACCATTTGTACACATATTTACAAATAATAATAAAAAGTGAGTGAGTACAAACAATTCAACATTTTCAGCAATCACTCACAATCCTGGCACTGCCATGGTATCTGTAGTCTGCATTTACCACATGTGTATCTGTAGCAGTCGAACACATCGCACAGTGGCCTGATTTTCTTGCATTTGTGTTTGACCTGACACGTGGCTCTTTTCCCAGGGCTAGGTTTGGAGGGTTGTGCCCGAAGCAACTGTTCTTTTCTTGCCTTCTTCCCAGCTACATGAGAGCGAGCCAACTCTGTTGCAAGCGCCACCAGGAAGTCCACCCGTCTTTCCTTCGTCCCGGTGCATGCTTGATACAGCACATGTGCATTCAGTGCTGCCATGTCAATCATGTTATAAAACACGGCGACTGGCCAGCGCCGTGTTCCTTTGCGGACAGTGTACTCCCGAACCATCTGGTCCATCACATCCACGCCACACTTTGTTTTGTTGTAAAGGGTGACAGTGTTTGGCTTCCTTTTGGTGGTGTTATCAGTCTGAACCACGCTGTGCATGCTGCTAAGAATATAGACTGTCTTCTTCCGTTTGGCCGCATACGCCGTCAGCGTGGCAGCAGAGGTTGAAAACACCTAAGAAATAAGATAAATTGTTATTTCCATAGCCCTTTTACACACAATGAAACACATAAACATAGAACCACAAAAGACCTGTCAACATACCTGAGTGGTGAATGCATTGCGATCTGTCTGTCTAGTGGATTGAGGAATTTCCCTGCGAATCCTGTTGACTGTGCCGAGGATGGTGGTTTTCCGTCTAAGAAGTTTTTGTGCAAGTGAAAGCGATGTGAAAAAATTGTCCGTGGTAACATTTCTGCCCTTGTCTAGGAATGGTTCCATCAGCCTCATTACTACATTTTCAGAAAGTCTCTCCCCAGTGGGACGATTGGGGTCCTTGCCAAGATATGGGAAGACATTGCAAATGTACTTGGATTTTAGGTCGCAAGCCACCCAAAACTTGATCCCAAACTTGTCAGGTTTACTTGCAATATACTGCAGGAAACAGCACCGAGTCTTTGATGGGAAAAGCTGTTCATCAACGGTGATATGTAGACCAGGGTTGTAGCACGTGATGCAGTTGGTGACAAATGATCCCCACACACTGGAAATTGCAGCAAACTTGTCAGTCTTTGCTCGATCACAGCGGGTGGACTTGTCATCAAAGCGTAGGTGTTGCATGATGTTTTGGAAGCGGTTTCGTGCCATAGTTCCAATTATCTGTGGGTTTCCCAGGTTTGCTGACCAGCAGTCATTTACAGATGGAACCCTGTAAACCCCCCGCAAGATCACAATTGCAATAAATGCCATTAGTTCAGGGAGGTCCATGAACCAATGAACATGCTCCGTTTCGCCGTGCATGTTGAATAGTCCATTCTTGAATGCTACGAAGCATGTCAAGAGTGATGAAACACAGGAAGCTCTGAAGGCGACTCGAGATACTTCTCCTGGCCTTAGCCGTTGGCTCTCCATCTGCAGCGTACGCTTCTATTGGGGTGAAAGGGAGACAGGTCCCCACATGTTCTTCACGCCACACTGTGCCATCTTTCGCTGTCTCAGTCCCCAAACAAGGTCTCTTTTTCGGTGGAGAAGCAGTCTCCTCATCTGCAGTGTGAACAAATTCAAATTGTGAGCAAAATGGGAAGGTCAAACAAAATCACAAATGCATGCATAGATACTAATTATAATTCCAGTATCTCCTCCTCTGTATCAGAATAATGTCTGAAATATCTTACTTACTAACTACATCCACTTACTTGTTTGAAATGAAAAAGGAAATAACATGAAATGAAACTAACCGGAAGACTGATCAGACAGCTCTGAGTCCGAATCCGGCTGAACTTGTAAGTCTTCTCCATCCGAGTCACAAGGGTCGACTTCCCTCAGGATCATTTCCAAGGCCTGCTGAGTGGTGAGTCTTCTCTGCATTTTCTTTCCTTGGAGAGGAGGTCCGTACACCACAGAATTCTTCAGGGCAATGAAGGATTAGGCGAAGTGCAGTGAGATTGTATCATATATATAGGGCTTGGCTTCCTGATCAATGCTCCACTACCAAAAGGAAGCCAAGCCCTGCCACCCTTTACAATCAAAACAAGGTTTCACCCGGTGCAATTGTGGCTCTTGTAACCATAAATGGTAAGCTGCTCTTTTGTCACACACTACATACACAATAGATGTGTTTTAGTGCAAATTGTACATTGCTACATTGTTTTGAATTACCCTCGGCCCGCAGTATATGTGGGCACCTGTCAAAGGTCATTTGGATTTACCAGACCGCTTTGAAAACAACATGAAATCTTCACAACATGAAACAAATGAATGTCTTTGTTGAGCCATGACTGGATTTCTCCTTATCCTTCCTAAAGGCCGTTATAACCTTGCACTGCCAGTGTTCAGCTGCACCAGCTGTGACCTAATGTGGTCCCCCTCAGTTAAGGACTTCCAGGGTGGTGGATATTGGCCTGGCACCTTAACATGATCACAAAGGTCATTTGGATTTACCAGACCGCTTTGAAAACAACATGAAAAAATGAATGTCTTTGTTGAGCCATGACTGGATTTCTCCTTATCCTTCCTAAAGGCCGTTATAACCTTGCACTGCCAGTGTTCAGCTGCACCAGCTGTGACCTAATGTGGTCCCCCTCAGTTAAGGACTTCCAGGGTGGTGGATATTGGCCTGGCACCTTAAATTTCTGCACCCTGTTTTCAATGGATGTCTTTCAGTCTTTCTATGACATTAAGGTCATAAGTAGTTTACTGACAATTATTTAACATTTGAAATTAAAAGATCCGTCAGTCCATTCACATATATACTGTTCAGAGAAGGAATGTAGTTTAGAGCAAAGTGTAGTAGTGTGAAGTGGCTAAACACACTCACCAATTGTTCTAAAATAAACAATTTATCAAAACATTAACAGTCTTTCACACATACATACGGTTTATACACTGTTTTAAAAAGAAGGGGTTGAAGACCTGATTGATTACAAAAAGTCTATTAAAATGTTCTGGGTAACCACAGAAATCTTAGTCAGTTATGTCTGAGAGAGAATGTTTATGACAGAAGTAATGCCAAAATCTCAACAAGCCAAAGTTACATACATGCTAAAGAGAAAGATCAAACAGTGCTGAAATTAGGAAGTGGGCAATATAGGGCTTCCCCAGTGAAATAACTGATCTGAAATAATTGAGGCACAAATTAATAAATAACATACTAGTAATCCACAGAAGGGGAGGCCTCTGGGAAAATGTAGAAAATCAATGGGAATTTCTACAGTAGCACGAGTTACCAGTCAATACCAGTCCTGGTATTGGTTATGTTGAAGTGATGGGTTTTATAATTCATTTTTGGTCCACTGAAGGGATTGTTTTGTAACCCCAATATTGATATTTTGTAAATAAAAAATATGACCTCAATTAAACCTTTAAATTCCCTGCACTTGTCATAGATATCTACATGATGTCCAAAAAATATACATCAAGTCCAAGGTTCTACTGTTGAACGCCATATTGATGTCCAGCTTAAATCATGGTTGGACCTCCAAATTGTTGGAAAAGTTCAAATGCAGTACAGACCTCCAGAATTGGTCATGGACCAACAGAACCAATATAGACACGATCTGTACATCTATCTGACTTTCTTTGTTTAGTTGGTAGCTAACTGAATTGTCTTACTCTTTTTTTATAGATGAAAGAAAATGTCCCTGAAACATACAGTATGAAACAATGAGTGTCAGGTTTATATTTATAGTCTACATCACATTTAAGTGGTACCCATATGTCAATTTGTTTGAGCCTAAAACACAGACTACTCCATGACCCGAATTATTGTTTAATCCTTCCCATCAATACCTCTCAGTTCCACATCTCTAACTCATGTTATTCTCCATGCAGCTCTAACAGCAGTGGTCCAAACACAGCAGACTGTGCTGGCAGCAGTGGGAGAAGATGCTGAATTCAGCTGTCAGCTCTTGGACACTGAAGACGTCCTTCAGGTCACATGGCAGAAAATCTCACGTGATGTGGAGACAAATGTTGCCACCTACAGCAAGTACTATGGTCAGAGAGTGAATGATGGCTTTAACGATAAAGTCAAGTTTAAATACACTGGACTACAGAACTGCTCCATAGTCATCAGGAATGTGACGGAGCAGGATGAAGGATGCTATCACTGTCTGTTTAACACTTATCCTGAAGGCTCCTTCACTGGTAGAACCTGCTTCCAAGTCTATGGTAAGAACTTTTGCATTAATGTGTTTAAATGTGCTAGAAACTGATTTCCTTTCAACAACATATTCCTTGCAATATCTCCTGATCCTTCACAGAGCTGCATGAACCTGTTGTTGATGTCAGAGAGTCAAACTCTGCTGAAGAGTGGGTTGTTTCCTGTTCAGCCACTGGTCGACCTGCTCCCACTGTAACACTCTCACAACAACACCTCAGCTTCTCACAGTACAACACTGTCAGTGTGTCCAACACCAACGCTACATTCACTGTCACCACTACAGCTGTGCTCTCAGGTTCACGTAAACACAGCACACAGGTGGGATGTGCAGCACGAGTGCTCTCTGCTCCTCACAGAGAGGTGATGGAGACGATTCCTGAGGTCCAGCAGACGTCAGATTATCAGTGATGGTGAGAAACTGAGATGCAATAACAATGCATTGTGCTAGTATGCATTTTCTCTTTGATCAATAATTGATGTATTCATTTTGATCAGTGTCACATTTTTCCTGCTTTTTCAAGTTTCCTCCTGGATCATTGTATTAGCTGCAGTATTGGTGATGATGGTCTTTGTCAGTGTTGCTGCTCTGCAGCTACTCTTTAAAGAAAAAGACCAGATAACTTTCATTTTTCATTTCTTGTCATTTTTTTCTACACCAAAATCTATCCAATAATATCTGCATAACATTTTCTACTTGTGATTTAGTTATTAATTCTTTGCTTCATGATTCAATCGGTCTTTGTCTAGTATTAAATTTTATGTTTCCCATTTAATCCCACTGGCTTTAAAGTGTTTCACCAGATTTTTACGAAGTATTTCCAGTCTTTTGTTGTCTCTGTCCCAAATGTTCTGAAATGTGTTGCATGTATTAAAAGAAGTTGGACCAAAAAATGTACTATGTACTTATAAACTTACATTTATGAAAGCTGAACAAACATTGATGTACTCGACTTTTGTAACAGTGAAAAGGCGATCTGTTTTTATTGATAAATATATATGTTTGCATTACTGTTATTTAGATTGCCATGTTAGAACGTAGCAAACAACATTGTTTGTTCCTCTATGGTTTCTTTATTTTTACAAATCTAAATGTTTTTTGTCAAAAGATTAATAATTTCATATTGAGGTCAGATGGTCAGCAGTTTTGATGTTTTTGCAGAGATTTTATTTTTTGCAAAATAGCACAAGTAAACATTAAAAGTAGTTCCTAAATCAAGGCATTTATTATTAAGGCGGCCATTATTATGGCCCTGTGTGGAAAAAGTGATTGCCCCCTAAACCTAATAACTGGTTGGGCCACCCTGAGTAGAAACATCTGCAATAAAGCGTTTGGGATAACTGGCAATGAGTCCTTTACGAGGTGCTGGAAGAATTTCTGCCCACTCATCTTTGCAAAATTGTTGTAATTCAGCCACACTGGAGGGTTTTTGAGTATGAACCACCTTTCCAAGGTCACAGCACCTCAATCAGATTCACGTATGAACTTTGGCTAAGCCATTCCAAAGTCTTTATTTTGTTTTACTTAAGCTGCTTAGAGGTGGACTTGTTGGTGTGCTTTGGATCAAGTGCACTTCAGCTTGTGGTCGTGAACAGATGGCCAGACATTCTCCTTCAGGATCCCAGAAACTGGATTCTGTTCATCTTGACGTTGCATCTCCAGACTGAGAGATCTCAATGACTTTGTTC